GGGGATTGTAACCATGGCAATGAAATGATATACGATAGGATGAATGTAAACCTAATGTTCTCCCATGTAAACTGTCACATAATTCACAATAAAACATAAAAAAAAAAAAAAGAATTACAGCCTCAGAAACCCTATGGGGTACTTCCACTCTCCCTTATACATTCCCCATGAGTTAGAATTGATTTGACAGCGTGGGTGTGGGGTGTGTGTAAGGTACAGGGTTAGTGAAAAGGTGGAAGAATCTCAATGAGGTGGATTGGCACAGTGGCCGCAATAATGGTCCAAGCGTAACAATTGTGAGGATGTTTGGGTCTGTGGTGCATGGGATGACTATGTGTCCGAGCTGACTCCAAGGTCCCTAGCAGCTAAAACAACCTTTACGGAAGCTGACTGCCACACCTTTCTCCTTTGGACGAACTGGTGGTTTTGAATGGCTGACCTTTTGGTTAGCATCCAAGTGCTTTAATCCCTGTTGCTGTTGCTAAGTGCCGTCGAGACGATTCCAACCCATAGCGACCCTGTATAAAGTTTCCAAGGAGCAGCTGGTGAGCTTGAACCACCGACCTTGCAGTTCAAACAGCTTTGCAGTCTGGTGCATTAACCCACAGCGCCACACCAGGACTCCCTAGGACTCCTTTTATTCACAGGTATAGAGGTTATTGTTGTTATGTGCCATTGAGTCGGTCCTACTCATAGTGACCCTGTGCGCAACAATGTAATGGTGTCCAGCAAGGCTGGAGCTGGGTCAGGTGATTGCATTAGATTGCATGCATCAGACGACATCACATTATGCTATGCAAAGTGATCACATGACATTAAGTTGTGGGAAGTGACTGCATTTTGTTACATTGGAGAAAACGGTGGCATTGCATTATGTTACAGAAAGTATTTGCATCACATCACATGGTAGAGAGTGATTACATTGTATTGCATTACATTACATTGTAAGGAGTTCTGGTATTGTATGGTTACAATTTGGACTGTTAGTCTCACGGTCAGAAGTTTGAAACTACCAGCAGTTCCGCAGGAGAAAGATGAGGCTTTACAGCCTCAGAAACCCTATACAGGGTCACTATGAGTGGGAACCAACTCCATGGCCCATAACCACCACCACCACATTACATGGTAGAATGTGATTACATTGTACTATGTTGCATTATGTTACAGAAAATATTTGTGTTAATTACATGCTAGAAAGTGATTACATTGTATTGTATTATGTTAAACATTCTAGAAAATGATTACATTGTAATGCATTGTGTTACATTACAGAAAGTATTTGTGTTAATTACATGCTAGAAAGTGATTACATTGTATTGCACTGCATCATGTTACAGAAAGTATTTGCGTACATTACATGGTAGAAAGTGAATCCATTGTATTACATTATGTTACATTATAGAAAGCGATTACATTGTGTTGCATTAAGTTACATTACTTTGCATTAGATCGCATCTCATTACAGTGCATTATGCAAACTGGTTACAAGACATTCATTTATGGAAAGTGGCTGCACTGAATTACATTGTAGAAAGTGACGGTGTTGCATTGTGTTAATGAGGAGTACTCACGTTACATTACATTGTAGAAGGTGGTTACTTCACATTGCATGATAGTAAGTGATTACATTACATGTCATTACAGAACAGCAGTTATTCTAGGCTTTGACCAGACCCCTGAGCATCACAGGCTTCCCAAGTTGATCCATTAAAATGAACCACCCCACTCTGTCTTTGTCATTTTAGGGATCCTAAAGTGTAAAAAGGACAAGTCCTACGAAGGTGGCCAGCTGTGTGCCATGTGCTCCAGTCCCCAGAAGCTGCAGAAACAGGAGATTCACAAGCTCAAGGACATTGTTTGTGCGAAGCCACTCATTGACTCTCCCCTGAGGCAGAACCGGAGTGGGAGCAGCAATGAGGAACAGGAACCAGACGAGGATGGCAGCGAGGGTCCGCTCTCGCTGGAGAACATGCATCTCCCCACATGGAACATCTCTCTGAACATGACGGATGAGCACGGAAACACAGTAAACTTGGCCTGCAGCATCAAGAAACCCACAGACGTGTACCAGATCCTCTTGAACCAGACAGATCCCTTTGAGATCGAGGTCAATGCCACCGTTGCTTTGGATTTTGAGTGCCCCATGACCAGGGAGAACTATGAGAAGCTGTGGAAACTGATTGCGTATTACAGCGAGGTCCCGCTGAAGCTTCAGCAGGAACGCAAGTTCAGTGAAGACGGCAGAGATGGCTTCGAGTACAGGCAGGATGCTGATGAAGATGCCCTATACTATACAGGTGTCAAAGCCTGCATCCTCGCGGAGCCAGCATGGGTCCTGCAGCCGTCGGTGGACATCCAACTGAACCGGCGCCAGAGCACCGCCAAGCAGGTGCTGCTCTCGTACTATGCTCGGTTTATGCAAACGGTGTCCAGCAAGGCAGTGAGGTGGGCGCAGAGCAGGAGCTGGCTGATGATGGAGCCGGGTAAAGCCCTGCAGAGAGCTCACACGGTCCTGGAGGGAGGGTCCTTTCAGTTGAGTTGCCCTGTGCGGGCTTCCGAGAGCCCCTCCATCTCCTGGGTGTTGCCGGACGGCTCTGTCGTCAGAGCCCCTACAGAAGACTTGGAGAGCAAGTTCTCCATCCTCAGTGGTGGCCATCTGAAGGTCAGGTCAGCGGAGTACTCCGACTCGGGTTTGTACCAGTGCATTGCTCAGGTGAGAGATGAAGAGGATCGGGTGATGTACAGGGTCTCTGTACAGGTACCGGTCACTCGGCCCTCGGATGAACACACACTGACCATCACTAAGAGCCCTGGAGAGCCAGTGACGTTGCCTTGCAATGCAGAAGCCATTCCAGAAGCCCAGCTGAGCTGGGTTCTCCCAAGCAAAAGGATCACGAATCATCTGGCTAACACATCTCACGCATACGTACTGGACAACGGAACACTCTCCATCCCAAAGGTCCAAGCCAGCGATGGGGGTTACTACAGATGCGTGGCTGTCAACTTACAAGGGACAGATCACTTCACTGTGGAGGTCGTCGTGAATAAGAAAGGCCCCAGCAGGACCTCCAAGAGAGGAAGACGTCCGGGAGGAAAGAGTCTGCCCAGAATAAGAGATGTCATCGAAGACGAAGGGGGCTCAGGCGTCGGGGGCGAAGACAAGATTCCAAGGCAGGTTCTACACCCGATGGACCAAGAGGTGTTTATCAAAACCCAAGATGGTGATGCCAGCGTTGGAAACCAAAAGACCAAGAAAGGCCGACGAAAACTGAAACTCTGGAAGAAGCAAGAGAAGGAACCAGAGACGAATGTTGCAGAAGGCCGGCGAGCTTTTGAGTCCAGGCGGAGGGTCAATATGTCAAACAAGCAGATTAATCCCGAGCGCTGGGCAGATATCTTAGCCAGAGTCCGGGGGAGGAATGTCCTCAAAGGTACAACTGTTCCCCAGGTTGTACAGAGCACAGCCACCCCGTCGGTGCATGGAGAGGTAGCCCCTCTTGCTCCTGCTGTTCCTCCACCCTCAGTATCTCTGGAGCAGACCACCAGCACCGTAGAGGATTCCTCAGCAGATATGACCACATTCAGTGAGAGAGAACACGTTTCCAATAGCATTTCCCCAACCAAGATGGCGCTAGAACCAAACCACCATGGAGCCATTTCTGCTGAACCCAAAGAAGCAAGCGTACAACTGGGAGACGTTCTCCATCAGGAGGTATCTGAGAAGATAAAGGATATGTTTAGTACACAAGCTGGTTCTTCAGCCCCTACCCAAATGTCTTTGCCTTATGAATCATCTTCCCTGCTGCAGACCCTGGAGGTATTCTATGAGGAGCCCACTTATGAAGAGGTGTCCACAGAGGGTTGGTTCACAGCACCGAGCATGGCATCTGTGCCCCTGCCCACATCCAACGTGGATGAAGTGCCCTTGGAGTCCATCTCTTTAGCAGAGTCTGAAACCCAAGCATATCTTGACCCAGATTCTGAGACCAACTCTCAAGTAGTTGAGGTTCAGATGGGAGATCTGACCTCCACACGCTCCACTCCAACTTCCTCCTGGTGGACTGTGGACCCCAGGGTGTCTGAGTCCTTCTGGGAACCAGATGTTCCCACACAGACTCGTCCACAAGGGCACACAGACAACACCCAGCCTACGACAGGGGACTCAGGCAATCAAGGCAACTCAGTCATAAAGCAAGACGTGGTGGAGAGCTCTCAGACAACAAGGGAAGGGAACATTTTGGAAGTAGAGCCCACAGACTCTGGATACCCTAGGAGTGAGGAACTGGGAGAAACACACAGCATCGTTACATTTAAGCAACCTGGAGAAACCACACTCAATGCGCTATTTGACAGGGACACTCTTACTGTGTCTCCGACGATGCCAAAACCAATGACCACAGCAGCAACCACACTGACCACTCCCCCTCTCCGAAGGAAGTCCAATGGGAGGAGAAGGTTACGGCTCCAGAGATTCCGACACCGGCATAAGCAAACACTGCCGCTGCCAACGTCTGCCCCACCAGAGACTTTTTCTACGACACCCGCTGGAGAGTCCACAATGAAGGGTCTGCGCAAAGTGGAGGATCCACTTGTCTTGACACCCACGGTTGAGGGTACGGTTGGCATCCCCAAACAGTTGGGAATGGGGCCACCAGTAGAGCGAGTGACCAAGGGAACGTCCCGAAGAAAACAGGCAAAGAAACAAAACAAACATCGGCACGTGTCATTTACTGTGAGCTGGAAAGACTCGGAAGCCAAGACCAGCTCTTCCCCAGACAACAAACATATAGACATAATTACTCCCAGTCCTGAAACACTACCTTTATCTGCAATGGTTCCTCTGAAACCTGGGGAGGACACACATGAGACAAGCAGAGCAGAAGATGACATGACAGGGACCCCCAAACTACATCTGCCTCTCAGTAAAGAAGTCCAAGGAACAATTGCAGTCACATTTAACCCCACATCTGGCGGGGAGGAAAGGAAGATGGATTTTAGCGTCACAAACATCAATGGTGTAAACGTTGGCACTCCAGTGTTCACTGAGTTAGCAACTGACAGCGTGTCTACTTTGAGCTCTGTGGTCTCCACTGTAGAAGGATTGATGCGACAATCGTACCCGCTAAGGTTTCCGGGAACTCCAAGCTGGACTTCTTCCGGGACAACCCAGCCTTGGAGTGTGGACACAAGCAGATCTGTTAGTGGGGGTGGAGAAATCCATACAGACCCACCCCTTTGGGAAGAGTTAGAAAAGCCACATCTTCCTAATGGATTTTCACCATCGGTGTCGGTGTCTACACAGTCTCAACGGGGTGATGTTGCTGCTTCCACTACACCATCAAGCACAAGACAAAAGTCATTCTCAAGCCAAGTAATGACAACCACTCATGGTCAGCACCAGGAAAAACGCACCCCAATGACGATCCATGAGGAAATGAGACCACAGGATCACACCCCTACACCAAACCCAACAGAGGAACCAGATTCCCCATCCCCACCCACTACAATGGGGTCTTTGGTACAAACCCCCACTACATCTGCACCTCTTCTTCTAAGTTCATCTCACATACCAACCGAGTCCAGAGACAATATTTTGTTGAATTATGTGGGTGTCTCTGAAACAAAAGCAGCCCCGTTGAGCAATGAAGGAAGCTGGTATATATTGAAAGCGAATGAAGCGTCCACTCCTTCTTCCAAAGAGGATGTTGTGAACGTATCTCCAAAGCATGAGCTGGTCAAAGAGGTTTTTGATGGTGAGATCCCAAACACTGTACCCCGAGGTCCAGAGAGCCACCACCATGATGGAAGAGGACAGACATCTCACCAACGAGTTATCCTTCCTACTAAACCCATACCACCGCGAGAAACCACAAGGACACCACGAGTAGAAACCACGAGGACACCACGAGTGGTCACTCAGAGGCCCTTTAAGTACTTAGTAACAACACAACCATCTCGTCACATGACCAACCAACCAGAAATAGCAGTGCACCCGTGGAAGGTTGTTCCAGAGAGTAAGTCGTTTGTGACTCCAAAGTTACCAACAACGACAGCTCCTATCCTACTACAGAGACCCAGACCCGGCATTCTCGGGGAGTTTGGCGATCACAGAACCAACCAATTCAATGCGATCCCCAAAGTATTTGGAAACAACAACATCCCCGATCAAAGAAGCCCTATGGGAAAGCCACCGAGTCCAAGATATCCCCCTCATTCTAATAGCAGGTTCCCATTCTTCTTCAACAAGACCTTTGTGTTCCCACAGTTGGGAACCACTGCAGCCCCGGTGACAAGAGACAGAAAAGTCATCCCAGGTTCCTTTAACAGAATCTTCTCCCAAAGCGTCATGCATGTGGATTTTGGTCCTCCCGCACCTCCGCTATCCCACCCTCCCAGGGCCACCCTGATACCCTCAACTAACATCCACCCCATTTCCCGGCTGCATTCTACCCAGAGCTCCATCCCTTTCACCACGTCCCCTAGCCATCCTTTCAGAAACTTCCATCAAAGCAGCTCGAGAATCTTCTCTGTTGGAGGACCACCAGCATCCAAATTCTGGACGCTTGGGGAGAAGCCCCAAATTAGCACCAAATCACCGCCCACCGTGTTTGTCACTGCAGAGAGCGACGCTGTGTTTCCATGCGAGGCAACAGGGAAACCCATGCCTTACATTACCTGGACGAAGGTTTCCACAGGTAGGGTATTTCCACATCTGCAGTTTAACCAGGGGTCGTGTGGGAGTAGGGGGTGGGAATCTGCAAAGCCCGGTAGGATCACAAAGCTGTGGAGAAAGATGAGTTGATGGGTTTGGAGAAAATGTCTGAGAACTTGAATTCAAGAACATTTTCTTCCAGGGAAATAGAATAGGAAGTTCAAATGAGATGTGGGGTTTAAGGGGATCGAGGGAGAGGTACTTTGGATAAGGGATCAGCTTGAGCTTGGAATAGTCCATAAAGCAACTTCCTGCCCTCTGACAGTCTGGCGCAATACAAAAACTTTCATCCTCCGAGGAGAGTAGTAATGGAGTGGAAAAGGAGAGTCTATTACTTCTCCTTGCTCTTCCGCTGTTGTTGGTGGTGTTCCAGGCTGTTGAGTGGGCCCTGACTCACGCCGGCCCCGTGTACAATGGGAATGGGGCATTCCTGTCATGGGGTGCAGGGTTTGCATGGACTGATTTTCAGAAATAGATTTTCAGGCGTTTCTTCCTACTCTTACCAACCCCATGTGACAGAGTAGAGTTGTCCCTCGGAGGTCTTTCACTGTCATCTGTACAGTAGGTCTTTTTCCTTCAGAGTCGCTGGGTGGGCTGGAACTGCCAATGTTTTGGTCAGCAGCTGAGTGCATTGGGATTCTCCTCAAGGACACTCCTTAACCAAGTAGTTGTTGTTGTTGTTAAGTGCCATCTAGTGAAGTCCAACTTACAGTGACCCTATGACCCTATATAGGGTTTCCGAGGAGCAGCTGGTGGATTTGAACTGCCCACCTTGTGTTTCACAGTTCAGTGTTGATCTTACAGCACCACACCATGAGTCCAACCAGACAGTGATGTTGTTAAGTGGCATGGAGTCAGTTCTGACTCATAGCAACCCTGTATAGGGTTTCCAAGGAGCAGCTGGTAAGTTTAAACCACTGACCTTGCAGTTCAAACCAACCGTGTGGTTGAGTGCTTACCTTACAGCACCATACTAGGACTCCAGATATAGATATTTTGTTTGGTAAGTGCTATCAAATCAGTTCTGGCTCATAGTAACCCTTTATATGGTTTCCGAGGAGCAGCTTGTGGGTTTTAACTGCCCACCTCGTGGCTCACAGCCCAGTGCTGATCCTATAGTACTATATCAGGAGTCTAACCAGACAGTGATGTTGTTAAGTGTTTTGGAATCGGTTCCAACTCATAGCGACTCTGTCTGTATAGGGTTTCCGAGGAGTGGCAGGTGGGTTTGAACCGTTGTCCTTTCGGTGAGCTGTTCAGTGCTAATCCTACCATGCCACAGCAGTTAGCCATGCTGTTGTGGTCATTAAGTGCTGTCCAGTCAGTTCCAACTCACAGCGACCTTGTATAGGATTTCCAAGGAGCGGCTGGTGAGCTTGAACCATCAACCTTGCGGTTCAAACCGACCTTGCAGTCCAGCACATTAACTCACAGCGCCACTTTGATAATTCTCAAAAGCACTTCTGAGTGTGGAACCTGATGGCACTCATTTCTCACCCCCAGGGGCCCTGATGACGCCCAATACTCGCACAGAAAGATTCCAGGTTCTGAAAAACGGCACACTGGTTATTCGCAAAGTGCAAGTACAGGACCACGGACAGTACTTGTGCACCGCCACGAATCTTCACGGGGCGGACACTATGCGGGTGGTGGTGGCGGTAAAGACACATCAACCTCAGTTCCTAGCCTCGCACTACCAGGATGTCACTGTCTACCTGGGGGACACCATTGCCATGGAATGCCTGGCTAAGGGCACCCCTGCACCCCAAATTTCCTGGATCTTCCCCGACCGGCGGGTGTGGCACACCGTGTCCCCCGCGGAGGGCCGAGTCACACTACACGAGAACCGCACGCTATCCATCAAGGACGCATCCTTTGCGGACATGGGCGTGTACAAGTGCGTGGCCAGCAATGCCGCAGGCGCAGACAGCCTCGCCATCCGCCTGCACGTGGCGGCCCTGCCCCCAGCCATCCAGCAAGAGAAACAGGAGAGCATCTCGCTGCCCCCCGGGCTCAGCATTCATATCCACTGCACCGCCAAGGCCGCGCCCCTGGCCAGTGTGCGCTGGGTTCTGGACGACGGAACGCAGGTGCGCCCTTCGCAGTTTGTGCGTGGGAACCTCTTCGTCTTCCCCAATGGCACTCTCTACATCCGCCACCTCGCACCCAAGGACAGCGGCCGCTACGAATGTGTGGCTACCAACCTCGTGGGCTCTGCGCGCAGGACGGTGCAGCTCACCGTGCAGCGCGCAGCGGCCAACGCGCGCATCACCAGCACGTCCCCGCGCAGGAGTGATGTGCGCTACGGCAGCACCCTCCGCCTGGACTGCAGCGCATCCGGAGATCCTAGGCCGCGCACGCAGTGGAGGTTGCCCTCCCAGCGAATGGTGGATACGCTCTTCAGGTAGGAACACCGGACTCCCGCGTTCCTGGAGGTTGGGGTATGGGAGCAAGCATTGGGGGCCTTTCTAGGTGGCTCTAACTGGCTTGTGTTATATGTTGCTGTTGTTACGTGCCATGGAGCCTGTACAGACACCTAGTGACCCTATATACAATAGAACGAAACACTACCCTGTCCTGCAACAACATCACAATCATTGCTACACTTGAGCCCATTACTGCTGCCATTGTGCCAATCCATCTTGTTGGGGTCTTCCTCTTTTTCTCAGACTCTCCACTTTACCAAACATGGTGTCTTTCTCCAGGGACTGACCTCTCCTGATAATATGTCTGAAGTAGGAGAGAGAAAGTTTGGCCATCCAGGCTTACAAGGAGCTCGCTGGCTGCATGTCTTCCAACACATATATGTTGGTCCTTTTAGCAGCCCATGGCACTTTCAATAGTCTTCTCCAACACCATTAACTCAAAAGCATCAGTTCTTTCACGGTCTTCCTTATTCACTGTCCAGCTTTCACATCCCTATAGGGTTACTAAAAATACCATGGCTTGGGTCAGGTGCACTGACTCATAGCGACCCTATATATATAAGAGTTTCAGAGACTGTAAATCTTTACAGAAGCAGACAGCCTCATCTTTCTGACTCAGAGCAGCTGGTGGGTTTGAACTACTGACCTTCAGGTTAGCAGTCCAGGGTTTGCCACCAGGAATCCTGATTAGAATACCCTGAAATATACCCAAATAGACCCCAAAACCCACTGCCACTAAATCAATCCTAACACAGACGGCCCTTCATAGAATCTCTGAGACGATAAATTTTTATGGAAACAGACAGCTATATGTTTCTCCCATGCAGCAGCTGATGGGCTTGAACTGCTCACCTTTCACTTACAAGCCCAGGGCCTAATTGGCATGTAAATTGAGATTTTTGATCTGGGCACTTTGAAACTCCGAACCTCCCCCAGCTTTACAATGTTAGTTCCACATTGCTCAGAACCCCACCATGTTTATCGACACATTGCAATGATCCTTACAGTCTCCCGTCTTCCTTCCCACATTGTCCCTTAGACTAAAAATCTTTCATAACTGTTAACTCAGAGGGGCCTGGCATAAAGGGCCTTTTTTTTTTCTTAATGTGCTAAGTCTATTGAAAGTACCAAGGGTTGCCAGTATAACAAACAAATCTGTGTTGGAAGAAGTACAACCAGGGTGCTCCTTGGAAACTATGATGACTAGACTTCATCTCTCATTACTTCATATGTATTATCAGAAGGGACCAGTCTTTGGAAAAGGATGTCATGTTTGGTGAAGTGGAGGGACAGAGAAAAAGACAGAGAACCCCCCCAACAAGCTGAATTGGTACGATGATAACAGAATAGGTTCAAATGTGACAATGATTGTCACAGTAATGGCCCAGGACCGGGCAGTGTTTTGTTCTGTTGTGCATTGGGTCACTGTGAGTCGGAAGCGACTCGACAACACCTAAGAACAAAAGTATATACATATAACAAAACATATTCCATCCAAACACACTTTGCATTTACAGTTTGGTGACATCATGAAGTTCAACGTGTTGGACACCCACCAGTCTCAAAGTACAAATATTTTCCTACATTTGGTTCATTTTTCTGTTGTTTCTGGTGGAGGGATAGAAGTCCAGCATTGAGCTCGTAGCTGGTCCTCATCGGTTAGTTTCAGTCATAGATTCTTTGGTGGCAGGAAAATTGTCCTGGTAGCATCGTGAGTTACAAGCTGGGCTGCTAACCTCAGAGTCAGCAGTTTGAATCTTCGGGAGAAAGATTAGACTTTCTCCTCAGAAACTTTATTGTATAGCATTGTTGTGAGTCAGAACTGACTCCACGACACACAACCGCCAACCACCACCAGCCAATCTGTCACATTTGGATTCTGAACAATCCAATATTCTCATTGAACCCCTGGGCTTGGACAATAACGTCATGCTTTCTCCTGGATGGGCAAGTGGTGAGTGTGTCTTTGGGTGCTAACCAAACGCTTGGAGATTCAATTGCAGCCAGAGGCACCTTGGAACAAAGTCCTGGCATTCTAAGTTTAAAAAGCCATCCATTGAAAACCCTGTGGGGCATGGTTCTAGTCTAACACTAAAATACTTTCCACACACTTGACTGATGTTAAGTACCTCTGAGATGGTTCTAAGTCATATCAACCCTGTCTGTATAGGGTTTCCGAGGAGCTGCTGGTAAGTTTGAACTGCCACCGTGCAGTCTAGTACTTATCAGTGCAGAACTAGAACTCTGGGTGCATTCTCGTTAGCTCAATCACCACCAAAAACAGCAAGAACAACAAAACCCCACTCTTTGTTATCCAATTATTCTGCCTCGTGTGGACCTGTGTGGGTCAGAGTAAAACTTAGATTCTCTGTGGAGTTTTCAAGTTGGTTGGGTTTTGTTGCCAAGGGATCACCAGGCCTTTCTTCTGAGGGACTCCCAGGTGGGCTGAAACCACAAACAGTTGCAGCCAAGTGTAAACCATTCTCAACACTGAGTGTCAAAGCACTTGAGCACACACACACACACACACACCCTTGTGTTGACAGGGCTACAATCTTTGATTTTATTCCAAACCCTGAACTAAATGCCCGGGAGTTTTGGACAGTAAATCATTTTAGCTCTTGGATGCAACTCCTTGTAACATGCCCAAACCCTTCTGACAGTCTGCAGTTGCATCCATGTGTGCCGGTATTTCTCAACACACCATGTTCCTGGGACCAGAAGCCAGGGAATGTCTTTGAAGGACTTACAGTGTAGTCTTGTTTTTTTCTTTCTGTCTCTATCAGCTATGACCCCAGAATCATGGTGTTTGCCAACGGGACCCTGGTGGTGAAATCTGTCACTGAGAAAGATGCAGGGGACTACTTGTGCGTCACCAGGAACAAGATCGGTGAGGACTACGTAGGGTTCAAAGTGAATGTGGTCATGAAGCCAGCTAAGATCGAGTACAAGGAAGACCAGGACCACATGGTCGTGCATGGGGACAATCTGAAAGTGGACTGCGTGGCCACGGGGCTCCCCAACCCTGAGATTTCTTGGAGTCTCCCCGACGGGAGTGTGGTCAACCCCTTCATGCAATCAGATGACAGCGGGGGACGGACGAAACGTTATGTCGTCTTCAACAATGGCACGCTCTACTTCAACGAAGTGGGGAAGAAGGAAGAGGGAGATTATACCTGCTTTGCGGAGAACCAGATGGGTAAGGACGCAATGACGGTCCATGTGAAAGTGGTGGCCGAGCCTGCGGCCATCCGAAACAAGACGTACTCCGTGGTCCAGGTCCCCTATGGGGATGTGGTCACCGTGACGTGCGAGTCCAAGGGGGAACCCACGCCGAGGGTGAACTGGCTGTCTCCCACCAACAGGGAGATCCCTGCCTCCTCGGACAAGTACCAAGTCTACCAAGATGGTACACTCCTCATCCGCAAGGCGCAGCGATCCGACAGCGGCAACTACACCTGCGTGGTCCGGAACAGTGCCGGGGAGGACAGGAAAGTCGTTGGCATCCAGGTGCAGGTCCAGCCGCCCAGGATCAACGGGAACTCCAACGCCGTCACCACCGTGCGGGAGATTGCTGTTGAAGGGAGCCGGAAGCTTGTTGACTGCAGAGCACAGGGCATCCCTGTTCCCAGGGCATTGTGGGCTTTTCCTGAGGGCGTGGTCCTGCCTGCTCCCTACTACGGGAACAGGATCTCAGTCCACCGTAATGGCACGCTGGACATCCGCAGCATACGACGCAGTGACTCGGTGCAGTTTGTGTGTATTGCCCGCAACGAAGGCGGGGAGGCCCGTCTCGTTGTCCAGCTGACAGTCTTGGACCATGTTGTGAAGCCCATCTTCCATGACCCAGTGAGCGAAAAGATCACCGCCATCGCCGGACACACCATCAGCCTCAACTGCTCAGCCGCGGGGACCCCGGCACCCACGTTGCTGTGGGTTCTCCCCAATGGAACGGAGGTCCAAAGCGGCAGGCAGCTGCAGCGATTTTACCACAAGAGCGACGGCAGGTTGCACATCAGTGGGCTGGCCTCAGCGGACGCCGGTGCCTACCGCTGCATAGCTAGGAACCCTGCCGGCTACTCGGAGAGGCTGGTGTCCCTCAGGGTGGGCCTCAAGCCCACGGCCAGCAGTCAGCAGCACGGCGTAGTGAGCATCATCAACGGAGAAACCTTACATCTGTCCTGCCCCATCCCGGCTGGCCGCCCCGCTCGATTCTCCTGGACTCTCCCCAACGGTATGCTTCTGAACATCCCCCAAGAGGTGGGGCGCTTCACACTCCTGGAAAACGGCACGCTCACGGTGCACGAGGCCTCGGTGTTCGAGAGGGGGACTTACACATGCAAGGTGGACACTGAGGATGGCTCGTCCTTCACGAGCATTCCTGTCATTATCATCGCCTACCCACCTCGCATCACCAGCGAAGCCACGCCGGTCATCTACACTCGACCTGGGAGCAGCGTCAAGATGAACTGCTTGGCCATGGGAGTGCCCAAAGCCCAGATCACGTGGGAACTGCCGGACAAGTCCCATCTGGCTGCTGGAGCGCAGGCTCGAATCTTTGGGAACAAGTACCTCCAGCCCCACGGTTCCTTGACCATCCAGCATGTTTCTGCACGAGATTCTGGCTTCTACAAGTGTGTGGCTGAGAATGTCTTGGGTAGGGACTCCAAGACCACTTACATCCACATCTACTGAGGGACCCGAACAAAGCGTCCCGCTGTTTGCAAAGGGAGAAAAGAGAGCTCAAAAAAGATTTCACGGTGCCTGGTGGTCCCCCAGTGGCTGTCAAGTAGAGGATGACCTCGGGTCACAGTGAATAGGAAGTAACTCAGACGGAGGGAACAGGGAACGGGAGCCAGCCTCCTTGGGGGCTTTGTTTATTGTGTATCGGATGTCCTGCCTTTTCAGCTGGCATCCTCCCAAGACCCCCACCCCAAAATTCCAACCGCCATGGAGTCTGCTTCTCTGACTCTGCCGACTTCAACACTCCAGGAGGACAAATCGGACACACTCTCATTACACACAAACAACCCAGATTAGAAATGCTTTGCTTTCGTACTCCAGCCATACCTCCCGGCCCACGCCTCGCTGCCCACTTCTCTTTCCGTGCTCAGACACCCCAGAACGAATCCCAGTGCTTCAGTGCCTCCTTTCAGTCTCCCATGGACCAAACAGTGTGACAACCAGAGCTATGGATTCTTTGTTTTTTCTCTTTGGCAAACAACTTTTACCGTGGGGAAATGCACGCAACAAGAACCATTCACCCACCCGACCATTCCCACAGCAAAATCCAGGAGAGCAGGCCCTCGGAGGGACCACTGTGTTGTTTCAGTGACAAGTTTTCCACCTCTGACAGGGTTCGACCACCACTTTCCGATGGTCCGTTTTACAGGTGCGTTTTCCTTCTCTGACAGGTGTGTCTGCCTTACACAACTTGCACTGTAGAACTCAGTGTCCTGGTGTAGGATCAGCACATGACTGCTCACCACAAAGTCGGCTGTTCAAACCTACCAGTCGTTCCTAGAAAACCCTACACAGAGTCACTGTGAGTTGGAACCAACTTGATGGCACTTAACCGATGGCACTTAAACCAGTGGCACTTAGTTACAGAACTCGGTGGCTTTCATTACTGATGTTCTGCGTGGTGTGCAATCCTTACCAACCTTAGTTTTAATATATATGTTGAAAGAGACTACTCTGATGGCTCTGTAGGGAAATCACACTGGTCTGCTCACCACAAGGTCGGCAGTTCGAAGCCACCAGCAGCTCTGTGGGAGAAAGATGAGGTTTTCTGTTCTCGTAATGATTTACAGCCTTGGAAACCCGCCACAGGGTCGCTATGAGTCAGAATTGACTCGGTGGCTGTAGGTTCGGATTGGTTTTGTGTTTTGGGGTTAGGTATTGGGGCTGCTAACCTCAAGGTTGGCGGTTCAAAGCCACCAGCTTCTCTGAGGGGAAAAAGGTGGAACAATGTGCTTCTTTAAAGATGACAGCGTTGAAAAAACTGCAGGCCAGCTCGGCTTTTTCCTACAGACTCACTATGAGTCCAGGGGGGTTGTTTGTTTTTCAAATTATTTGACCATCACTCAAAATAAACTCAGTGTTCCCTATGGAAAAACGACCCCTCACCACCTCCCAAAGATTGCTGTTTTAAAAAAGAAAATAATGTGGGGAAAATATATACAACAAAACCGTCCCCGATCCAGCACTTTCTGCAAACGTGGCGTGGCACCTCTGCACTCTTTGTTTGCCCACGCGTGATTTTTAATACACGGTTTCATTTCATGCCCACATGTGATTTTAAATTCACGGTTTCATTGAGTCGTAAAACATCGGGAAGCCGCAACCTGTGGACGCTATAAACCTGCCAGAGAAGGAAAGCCCAAATATTCTGCCCTGAAATGGGTAACTATACAGGGTCACTATGAGTCGGAACTGACTCGGTGGCGCTGCTTACCAACAACAAAAGGAGTAATAGGAAAGTGTTAAGACAGCACCCATCAAGCCCGGGTTGGGGGAGGGGACGACTCTCCCTTTGAGTTCAGTCTCTGCCTGGGTGTCTGTGTTTGACGGGGCTTCAGAAAGTTGGTGGGGGGAGGGAATCCTCTTATCTCTCAATTCCGATTTTTTCCCCCAGGGATATTTTTGAAGCTTGCTTGTATATGAAAAGAAAAAAAATGTCTTCAGAGCTCCCTTTTTATATAGTGTTTTATATATATATATATATAAATGTTTTGTTTTGTTTTCTTTTCTAATCAGACTATGAGACTATAAAAAGAAATACTCAAAGTCTCATTAAACACAATAAATTATTGGTCTTTACAAGACTTGGGTACATGAAGGCAGAAATGGAAAGAGGTTTGTTGTGTGAACTCTCTGCCAGTGTCCTACAATCTGGTAAGCTAAGACTTTCCGGTGGTGGGGGAGACGGAGGTCTTGGGTTTCCTTGTCTGTGAAGTTTACTTTGAGAGCTGGGGCTGGGGGGAGGGGGTGCAGGGGAAACCTGAGAACTAAGCCTGCAAAAACAGAATTCCTCCCAGAAAAGTCTGGAATCCGATTCTCTAAAACCTTCAAACTTGCCATCTGGTTGCGACCTCCCGCCTCCTGCGCCCACCGAGCCACTCCGTGGGGTCCTGGATTGGGGAGACCTGCAATTTCCATTCCTGCTTTACTGTATTTTTTAAGGTCAACAGACTGTACATTTGATAATAAAATAATATTTTTCAAATGCCACAGCTGGCGATTGCATTGAATTATTAAACAAATGAACCCGGAAGGGGGTGGGGGCGTCAGAAGTGTTTACGTTGCATTTGAAGTGCTTGGAAAACCCCTTCAGTCCACCACATTTCAATCTCTCTGCTTTCTACACTTTTTTTTTTTTTTTTTTTTTTTTTTTTTTTTCTAATGATACTGGATCAGAGTTGGTGGCCCATGTGACCCATGTCATGGGCCAGAAAGCATGGTTTACCTAAACCATGTGAGCTGGAAACTCCAATATTAGACTTACCTGGGAAGGTAGCTGAGACCTTTTGAGGATGAATGGTGCCCGGGGCCTCAGAAAATGCTGCAAGAATTTTTCTTTGGCAGCATGACATGTGAGGTTGTAAGCTCTTGCTTGCCTCACATATGCACAACTGTGGGTTTTGTGGTCCCGGCAGAGGAAGAAAAGAAGGGGATGTAAAGGAATTAATTTGCAAGAGTGCCCCACCTGATTTTCAAGAAACTCAGAGCCAGGCTTGCAAGAGAGGCAGCCACAGAAACAAGACAGTGATGGCTTTGGCATGTCTACAAGGGACAGAAGAATTCAGTTATCTGTGTATTTACTGGTCATATCCACAGCGGCTTCACTGTGTTCGAGAACCCATGATGGAGGAATTTCCAGGTATGTTGGAGCCAGGTTTGCTGGATCACTATGAGTTCAGTAGACAGTCTTTGGCCAGAGCAGGAACACAATCATTCTCTGTGGTGGGGGCTGTCCTGTCCACTGTAGGGTGTGGAGCAGCATCCCTGGTTTCCACCCACTGGTCATTCTCTGTGGTGGGGACCGTCCTGTGCACTGTAGGATTAGAAATATACTCATGTACATATAAAACGAATGTTCTCCCATGTAAACTATCACATAATTCACAATAAAACATTTAAGAAAAAAAGAAATATACTCATGTACAAACTGAGACCCAGGGAGGTCAGGTGACTTAGGTGTGGTAGATCCCTGCCCCAGGCGCACCTTGGAGATAACTGCGGAAACACAGGTAAAACAGGGCAGTGCCCATCATTTTCTGCTCATACTGGGTAGTGTACTGACAAGAAAACTTGTTTCTTTTTTCCCCTACTCTTTATTGTAAACTGGGTGAAGGTTTACCGAGCAGGTCACCAGTCTTACATTCAACAATCCGTGCAAACTCAAGCATACATTTTGTCGACTTGTTTTATCTTGCGATGGTGTTGTTAGTGTGTGCCTGTGGCCCTAGAGGGCAGAGTACAACTGCCCCGTGGGGTCTCCAAGTCTAAATGCTTATGGGAAGCAGACTACCCCATATTTCTCCCTCAGAGTCACTGAGTGGGGTCAAACCGCACACCTCTCAGTTCCCATCAACCAGTCATCATCCAGCCAACTCCAACTCAGGGTGACCCCGTAGGTATCAGAATAGAAATGAAT